TTTAATTTTAAAATTCAGAATATATAGTTCAGGTTAAGAATACATATTTACTCTGTAAACATTTTCCCAACAATGAACCATTTGTGACGGCTTGATCTTCTAATTCTCTACCAGACTTCCAAAAATGGCTTTGACAGCCATGAACTCTATGTGGCACCAAAAAATCTCTATCAGTATAATTTGAAAAGCCTAAGTATATGGGCCTTGTACTGCAGAAGTAATACAACATATAGAAAGTAGAAGGACAAAGTAGAAAGCTTGATTTTCAATTATTTAACCATATGACTTTTAGGAAGTTAATTAATATATTTGAGTCATAACTTCCCCATCTAACTTGTTATGGGAATTTAATGATGTAATTGTATTAGGGATGCAATGTATTTATGTAGTCTAAAATAACATGTAGGAATCCTATAGATGGCTTTCATCATTCTGATTTATTAAATACTTCTTTTTTTTAAGATTTATTTTTTTGAGAGAGAGAGAGAACGAGCAGTGGTGAGGAGCAGAGAGAGAGAGAGAAGCAGACTTCCCGTGGAGCAAGGAACCCGATATGGGGCTCAATCCCAGGACCTGGAAATCATGACCTGAGCTGAAGGCAGATGCTTAACCAACTGAGCCACCCAGGTACCCTGATTTATTAAATATTTCAATATTTGATGTACTCATGGGAAATTTGAAGCTTCTTTGGAAAAAAATAAATCAATAATTTGGTTGCATTGGAAAATATATTGAAGAAATTATTTGGTAACTTGTGGCCTAAATCTATATGAACATGTTACAATGGAGCTTTCCTAAAGCACCTCTTGACTAACTAAATTTACAAAATTTCAGTTATAAAAATCACCCCACTTTTGCAAATGAAATTATATGTATGCATTGCACCATTACAGTCATTGGTAATATACAATTGCAAAACTGTTGCCTCTACATGTTCAAAATAAATGAATACTCCTAATATTGATGAAGCAACTCAATCTCTTAATTTTGTTCATATTAGTAAGAAATAATGCAGCATTCTCTTCACTGTTGCCATAATGGATAGGAAAATTTTTACTAGAGAAAGGTCCACATTGAAAGTGTATGATAAACAATATGTATTATAAATCCTGGAACTTTACCAGCTGGGAAAGTTGATCCTCATTATTCACGGATTCTGTATTTGTGAATTTACTAACTTGCTAATAGTTTGTAACCCCAAAATCAATATTCATGGCGCTTTTGTGACCATTTTCAGACATGCACATGCAGTGAAAAACTTGAGTCACTGAATGCCCGCAGTCCCAGCTGAGATGGAACAAAAGTGGCACTCTGGGGGCACCGGGGTGGCTCAGTTGGTTGGGCGACTGCCTTCGGCTCAGGTCATGATCCTGGAGTCCCGGGATCGAGTCCCGCATCGGGCTCCCTGCTCGGCAGGG